GGGGTTGGGGCGGCACGTCGCAGGAAGCTAAGGCGATGGTCCGGGGAGGGGTGGTGAGGTGAGTTGCACTGCAGCGACAAACAGACGGACAAGCGGTGGTTGTGTTATTCGCGTAAACACTGGAAACTCCCTCCCTCATGCGCGGCTGTTATCGCCTGACTCCTGGACCTGATGTGGACTGTGCCGCTTCACCCACAAAAATGAAGAGCTGTAACAATCGGGTATGGTGGGTTCGGAGATGACCATGAAAATATTGTTAATGCAACACTCCGGTGGGTTGTCTCAACCCAGGGGCGTATTAAGGGTATTAAGGCGGAGGGAGGAAGGATATCGAAAGTTGCCTGAAGGGTTTCGTAGGTCAAGTAGCCTACCTTTAGGCAGCTATCTACTGGACCCCGGTGGGGGGGGGGGGTGATCGCCCCCATCCCCCTCCAATTAGAAATATCATACAAGTTGACTTTTCGTTTTTTTGAGTGTTGTTTACTATTGTTTTCGAACCGCATATGTGCTACTGCTAATCGAATACTTTTCCTCGCTAGCATGAATCCTTAATTTATCAGTGCAGTTTTATAGTACACGACACGAAATAAAATATGTCATCGTTGCCCTAGCGAGGTGTTGGTCACTTTTTTTTATTTTCCTGAGCAAATAATTTGTACCAGAAAGAAACACATCTTTGCTATGTCTATGTTAACAAAGACGTTCGTCGGGTTGGCAATTTTTCACGTGTGTAATTTTGAACAGGCAGACCGCCAGCAGAATTCTATTTAAAAAATTGTGCAAACACACATAATGCATGTACAGATAACAGCACCAAAATTGAGGTACGCAATTTGTACCGTACAGAAAAAAATTGTTCAATTTCACTGCTCAGTTGCTAGAACCCAGAGCAAATAAATCTCAAAGCGACATCAAAAAGGTATATATAAGGTACGTAGTTTCGACATGATTCAACAGCTGACCCGTAGAGGAGAGAGGGGGGGAGGGAGCTGAAGAGTTAGAGAGAGAGGGGGGGGGGGGGCGTATTCGTTAATGGCCACCATAGTAGAAACTGAATTTAATTTAACGTTTCCTGGTAGTAAATCAAAGCTAACGTCTGCAGCGGCGACGAAAGACTGTTTTCGTCTCGCGCCTAGCGCCGATCTCTTATCTCTGTGCGGTGTCTGAAAGCTCGCGGGTTCCGGATAGTTTGTAACACCGCGTGAGCTAGCTAACGGCACAGAAGCCCTTGCGTGCGAGCCATCCGCAAAGCATCCCTTCGGACCGGAGTCTTTATATTCGTCTTGGCTTGAAACCGGGAACCGGTCGGAACCTGGGACCGGTTGGATGCTAGTTCAGAAACTGGTTCACACGCCGCCGCCCGCCTGTCGTCACCCTGCTCGTAGAGATGGATTCTCCGCTCAGAAATCCTTGAGATTGCTCTCCAACTCCGGGTCCCCCTTGCGACATGTCGCCTATTTAAGCAGCCATTCCCAAAACGCTTCTCTCGGATTCTGTCAGGAAAACACCGCGATGAAAAATGTAAGTTGGACGATTAGGCGGAGGCCTAGCCTTCAGACCCAAGCGGGCCGTGGACCGTGTCTCATTTATTATTGGTTCGTTTGGCCAACGACCGGCGAGTGACTCTAAACCCTATAACAACCTCAAACCAACACCACTTACTACTCGCGCGTCTGCCGTTGGCGCCTGGTCGACTCATAGTGCTGGTACACTCCCACCTCGTTACAAACGAACCAAACTACTAACCTTACTTGAATTAATGAAGTACAGTTGTTGTCTGGGCCGACTGCCCCGCTGAGACCTGTGTGCCCGCTCGCGCGGTTAGGGAAGACGGGAGCGCAAACCCACTACGCTCCTAAGCTCTTCTTCACCTGAAAAAGAAAAAAAAAACACGAAGTTACTGTTTAAGTGTATAATATATGACTATCACAACCATGCTAAAATTTGGTTTGGTGCGTTATAAACTGTATGTTTTTTTGCGGCGTTGTAGTTTTAGGGGATTCGGCACTGTTGCCTTGTTGTGACTTTTTCGGAACTCGTTTGTAATGCAGCGGCCGGTGCGTCTCCCAGTGCCAAAATGCACTCTGCCAATAGCGTCCAGCCGTACGCCCTCCTCTCGGTGGTGGTGGTCTGCGCGGTGGCGGCGGTGCTTGGCGCGTCTCGCCCGGTAGTTCAGCAGCGCGTCGGCGTCGTCATCGCACTCTTGAGGGTAGGCAACAGCCGCGTGCAAAGTGTGCACAGCATGCAAAGCAGATAGCTGTTGATTCATGCTTCCATATCGCCGCTGACAGGTGCCTGAAGGACAGGCTCGTGCCTCGAGTGTTTGTGTTAAATGTACCGGGTAATTCGCCGCGCCGTTTCGGCCTCCAGCAAACAGGCATGCCTCGAGCAAAGAGGCGAAAAGGTTTTTCACGCCGAGCTGTCCGTGCTCTCACATTTATTTATAATCGCCTAAATGCCTTTTTTTTTGTTTTTTTGGTAGCGCGTAGAAAATAAACTTGCGTGCCGTTCGTCTGTTATTCGGGAATGGCACGAGCTTTATCGAGCCCGTCATTCATGCTTAAGTTAATCGCATCGACACTTAACGCTTCAGTTTTTGGTTCGTCCCAATGAATCAGTCGGTGATTCCGATTTAGTATCGCTGGCGTGGGCATGCGGCGGGAAGAATGGCATTTTGCTGGATCCCACG